CGTTCAGTTACGACGAAGTAGTTTAGGAACGATTTCCGTCGCTATCAAAATTAGCGACTTTTTTGTCACTTATTTACGACAGAATTTCTAACAGTGTGTAGCTTCTATTTAAGAAGGGTCACAAAACCATGTTCCGATTCAAACAACCATCGTGCTGGATTTATTGTTTCACACCAAATGTTTTTGTACAAATGTTGAAAGAGACATCACTGTTTTTGTGCACAAAAACTTTTCGTACAAATTTGTCCAAAATTTTGTACAATTTTGGACAAAAATGGCGAAAAATGTGCAGTTTTTCGTACGAAAATAATACGCAAATTTCGTACACCAACCTTGAAGCGCAGGTCGTGGACGGGCGGCCGGGCGTACGGGATGCCCTGGAAGCTGAAGTAGGGGATGGCGTCGTGCAGCGTGAGGCGGTGCGCGCCCTGCAGCAAGCCCTGCTCCACGCGCACCAGTGGACCGCCCAGGGACTCCTCCGGGGCCTGCGACCAGCGCCATGCCGCCAGCAGCGCCAGCGTCGTCGGCAGGGCGTGGCGCAGCCACGGCTTGAGGCTGCCGCCTGCAGGCAGCCATGGAACAGAACATAATTGTATTGATGACATTGTGGAAAGGAAAATTAGCCTCGATATTGTCATCAAGTAGCAACTTAGATTTTCACAGTGTCAAGGGCCAGAAAAAAAGACTGGTGCAAGTGGCCGCAAACCTCCGAGAACATTGTTAAAATTTGTTGTCACTTGATGATAAAATCGTAGATGATATTTTCATCACTTTCAAACGATGAAACTCGCGTCACAAATTGGTGACCTTTTTTTTATTATCAAAGCTCTTATACTTATTGCACGGGCATCACTGCAAAGCTGGCGGTAAGTTTGGTTGCCTCAAATGGCAAGCCGTTTTGAATGCCAAAATTTTGGCAACCTTAGGTCAGAAGTCTTCATAAGCTTGCCAAATTTTGGCAAGCTAGAGGGTATTTCCGGACCAAGCTTGCTAAGTATTGGCATTCAAATTCACTGTAAAAAATAAGTTCGTAAATTTACAAACAATTTATGGGTAATTTCGTCGCACAAATGATTTGTAAATCTACAACGTTTTTTTTGTTTCTTAACGATTCATGAATTATTCTTCACGCAGTAGTTTGTAAAATCACAAACTTTTTACAAGCTCCAAATTGCGTGGACCGCTTTTGTTCTACCTTGTCACGCTGACTAAATGGAGATTAACTTATTTAAGCGTTTTTGTTTTGTTTCATGAAACATCTTGTAAAATGATGAAGGCATCACCATTTCTCGTAATTTTACAAGCGATTTGTGCAACGGAATTACCCAAGGATTTGTTGTGATTTTAGGAAACTTTTCATATTTTTGTGACCTTGCTGTAGTATTATAGTCACGTTTGAGATGTATTTCGTTAGTACTATTTCATATGGCGGTGTTCACAAACAAATTTCATAAAATCATTAAGATTTATGTGATGGATAATTCATAAAACGGCCGCTACAAATAAATTTCATAAAATAACGCAATGTTTTTGTTACTTTACAGGGTTTGTAAATTTTTTTTCGTAAATTCACAATAATTTTACAGTGAAACGGCTTGCCAAATTTGTGGCAAGCAAACTTACCACCAGTTTTGCAGTGATGACAACGATGCCATCTTGTTCGAGCGACCCAAAGGACATCGGTCTTTGTTCATAACACCCATCGAAACTCTTGTGATGACCAGTAACTTTTTGGCTGAGCGATAGCGAAGCCTGTTACTCCAGTGGGGTTGAAAAGTTTTTCCTGTCTGTCTGTCTGTCTGTGTGTCCGCACTACTCCTCCTGAACGGCTCGGCCGATCTCGGTGAGATTTTGCACACTTCTTGGGTATGTCCTTGGCTCGGCACACGCGAAATGTCACCATCCTAGCTCAACTGGTTCAGTTTTTATAGGCGAAAAACACCTAAAAAACGGCGAAAAATAGAGATTTCCGCAGATAGACTACTTCTGTCTTGGAGAAAGAGGGGTCTGGGGGGCGGAGCCCCCCAGCTGCGACAAGTTAAAAAGTGACAAGGGTCAAGATCGCGTTATCTGTAGATAAAACAACTCTATTTAGAATGTAGGGGGGGTCTGGGGGGCGGAGCCCCCCAGCATTTAACAAGTTAAAAAATAACCGACAACGGACAAGCCATTGCCTGCCGCAGGCAGGCTAGCGCCGCAGGCCAAGGTAGGTACACCAGGCGTGGATTGGAGGAGCAGGCAGCGAGACATCGTGAAGCCTGTTACGACAAGACGCGGTCTGGCGTAAACCTACCTTGTTACTTTGTGTGGAAGGAACGTCTTTTGCCATTATCTGCTCAATTAAATTAAATGATGAATGAAATTGGAATCGTCATCTTGTTTGTTCTTTCGACTCAAAGGGAGCCATAGTGAGCCAGTGCAGCCATTTTTGATCTTTTCATTTTTTAAAAAAAATAACGAATAGACCTAGGCAGTGACGCCATCCACCGGCCAAATTAGTCTGGAGCTTTGCCATTAAACCTCATCAGCCAAGTTTTTCGTTCCAGAGATCTGACATCCAGCATGCATGCCAAAGTTCTGATTTTATCATGCCGGAAAATTCCTTTGCCGATCGACTAGACAAGACAGCAGTGTATGATAGTTTCCGTGTTTTTAGACGAAAAATGTAAGTCGAGATGGGAAGGCACAGATTTAAGTGCGGAACGTGCGTTATTGTTCTATATGAACCTAGATAGGTCCGGAATACACGGCAGGACGTTACAACAATAGTACACAAATTATCGGCCAACGGCCGAGTTTTCAGTGTTTTCTTTAAATTGAATTTGAGTTTCAAAACGACTCCGATGTGTCCCGACGGCGATCTCTACCATAGAGTAGGGTAAACTATACAGTTACCGTCAGTTTAAGAGCATCGCTTTCTTTTCAAGGGCCTCTAGGGTAGGTTATGACACTTAGACCCGTGCGACTTGTTCCAGACACCTCAGAAGGATCTAGACAACGAAGTGGCTGACAAAGTTTTCACTAAAAACTGTTTGTGACGCTCTTATTTAACCCGAGAAAAAGGTTACCAAAAACACAGTAATCGGCAGCCAAAATACAGTTATCGGCACCCTTTATGACAGTTATCGGCACCCCTTGTTAAACAGGCAAAACATGACCGAAAGTGATGAAAATTTCTAACAGTCGTCACAGACACTCTATATCACCCCTTGCCATGTCACGAACCCACTCTCTCTTCTGTTATGCCTCTTGCGCCCTTCATTTTAGACTCACGGACAACTAGCACCATGAGCTGCAAAAAAAACAACCTCTCAAAGCGCCGAGGAGGACATTTCGTAATTCACGTAGATCACTGGGAAATAGTGGTCCGATTTCATTCAAATTTGGCAGGGGTCTTCCTACGGTCATAAAGCATCAGAATATTAACTCCCGGACGACGCCCGAAACACCAGTGAAGTTTGAGGCCACCCTGACGATAACTGTGTTTGAGGTGATTTCTCTGGTGCAGTTATCGGCACCCCCCGAATGAGGGCAAGCAAGAGGAATTTCTATGCACCAAGCACAGTATGCCATCTTCAATAGATGGGGAGAAGGAACCTGGCAAGGAGAATAGTTTTTTCCGTCCCACTTTCACGAATTTAACGAAAGATTGAACCCCTGTTCCTAGCATGGAAGATAAGATCGGGCGGCCGAAGCAGCTTCATTCTGCACTTGACAAGAAACATGGCTCTGTTGGCCGACATGCTCAGTCAAACGCGATGCTGTCTCGGTCCTGCATGATCAAAAGGTGTCTCTAGCGACCAGCATTGGCCGCATCACCAACGGACGCGTTCTTGCAGAGCAGGACCCAATTATTCGCCGAGATGACGATAACTGTACCCCTGCCGATAACTGTATAGTTTACCCTACACGCCCAAATGTACCTTGGACCCTCCTCTACTAGAGCCAATTTCAATCAAAAGCTCATCGAGGCTCCAACGGGAATGCGACGCGCCTAACGCCTTATCTTTTTTACTTGGACTCTCAGATTCTGTCCTTGTTTATAATCATAATCAACGATGTATGCGTTTTTTCTCTGTGTTCATGACATTTGTGGCATTTGGCTTCCCATCTTCATTGTTCTCGTGTACAATCCAAGAGTTATAAAGAATTTGTTAGGTCTGCTTACTCATTTTTTACCTAGACTCTGTAAAAATAAGATTATGGCCATTTTGGTAATTTTTGAAAGATACACTTCCCTGTACATTAAAATACGTAAGCAGATCGATAGAGCGTCTCAAGACGAATCGATCGGTACCAAAATGATAGCAAAAGCGCAACCCAGTCGGTCACAATTGAATTAAATGTCAGATTTAGCTCCGCCAGCACACTGTGTGGTGTGGCGTCCTGAAGAGGTGCGAGAGAGACAAAGTGACAGCCTGCTGTGACGTCGGAATACAGGTTCGCAAACTCTACGTCCAAAACAGTCCCTGTCTATCAGTCGCTAAACGGTGCTCCCGTGGCGGGCTGTCGTGATACAGTCTGGCCTGACAAGTTGTCAGGCCTGACGTCACTGCTACGATTAGCCCCGCCGTCACCTTGGCACGCGTGCAGTGCGAACGGCGGCCCGACTCCTGGAGCCTGCACTGGCTGGGCCCCACACGTCGCTCACTTTTTGGCCCATCGCGTGTACCTAGAAAGTTTGTACCATACGGCAAGACGCGTGCTGCGCGTCCGTCCGAGGACTTCCCGTGGTCCGATCCTCACCAAATAGGGTACTTCGGAGAAGAGCTGGAGCGGAAATTGAGAAGAAATCAAGAAGAACAAAGTATACGAAATGTGTAAGAACGAGCGTCTGCGTCGCCGTTCTGCCGCTTCCGCAGAGTTACATTCTCATACACGTCCGGCGCGTCTTCTTCTTGATTTCTTCTTGATTTCTTCTTAACTTCAGGTCTAGCTCTTCTCCGAAGTACCCTATTCGAAACGCAGCCTCCTTGCATTTGGGTAGCCCTACGAAGCGCCCGGTCGCAGTCAATCCGAGCCCAGCCCTGGGGACGCTGCTGCGGGTGCATCATGGTCAACATGGGGTCGAGGAGGATTTCGGCGACGGCTTGTCTAGAAGGGCGTGTAGGGGTATTTTTGTAATCAGGGCGACGAGAGAAAGCCAACGGTGCTTTTTGAGCAAAGTGGAGAAGTTTAGACCTGGGTTCAAATCCCAATCAGCTTATATTACGACCACTTTCTAAGGTCAAGTTTGGTATTGTTTCAAATGTTTTAAAGGGTTCTGATGGCTAAATAACATTTATTTTGACCCACACTCTGGTGCAAGTTCAAATCCCGTTAGGATAAAACATACAGGGTGAGTTTTTACCATGTGTCAATAATTTGTAGGTAGCTTGCGCACCTCAAGAGGATCTCTTTTCACCAATGAACTAGTGGGCGCAAACGTCTAGGTACGGAGATAAATGATATTTAGAAATGGGCATTCGCACCTGCTATATACGCACCTGCGGCCACTGAGGGTCACAACACCTCACGAGAGGATGTCGTGGGTCCAGCAGGGATGCAACGAAGGTCGCAGGGGTGCGGCGGACCTTTCAATTAACTTTTCAGAGGGGTTGCCGAGGGTCTCAGGTGACTGTCGTGGTGGCCTGCGTAACAGTGGATCTCGCGGCTGTCTTCGCGAGGGTGGCAGGACTCCAGGGTTTCTCCGTGAAGTCCGTGGCACTCCCTCGGGTACTGCGAGTCCAATGACACCCACTCGTGAGGTCCCACCACCCTCAGTGGCGGCGAGAGCCTAACTCGTGGGCGCGAAGGTAAATTACAAAACACTTATTATCTCCGTAACTAGACGTTTTCGCCCACTAGTTCATTAGCGAAAAATAATCCGCTAGGGGTGCCTAAACTCCCTACAAATTATTGACACATCGAAAAAACTCACCCTGTAGGTGAAATCCGCGATTTTTTAAATGAACGGGGACGGGCCAAAGTTGCCGATGTGTATCGTCACTTTTTCTGTTATTGATGCCGTCGCTACTTCGTGACACGCTGAGCCTCAGCACACAGGGAAATTAATTCCACGTTTCGGTCGCAGAATATTTGACAAGGTCTCTCGCGCAAGAGGGGGGGGACGGGTTTTCGAAGACACAAACAACAAAGTCAAAGACCTGCCCCCGCTGCCCTCTCTGAGCGGGCCCCGAAACGGGCCCAGATGGAATAGTGGACGAGAGACGCGACCAAGTGACCTTGACCTGAGAGGCATGTGTCACTTCCCTCGCAAAAATGCTGTGGTCCTTTTTCACACATTCGGTATCGTGCGTCGGGTCATCGCCGTGACAGGCTGTGAGTGGTTGGCCTTTATTAGCCAAGAGGACATTTACCCCTCGCCACTGTGGGCCAGAAGTCCAGCGCAGAGCTTCAGAGTCACTAAACCCAACTGGAACTGAGGGGTCTCACGAACCCACCAATTTCCTTGCTCGAGGAGGAATCCATTAGTCGAGGTAACACGTTTCACCCGTGTAGGTCTTGTTAGAATGTCAAAAACCTGTCTGTACACCTGATCAAAATTCGCGCACCTCAGAAAGCTGGAAACGTTTTCTGACATTCTCTAGAGCTGAAACCATCAACATCACGGTAAGTTTTCAGAATTATAGCTTTCAGAGATAGGGTAAAGTATACAGTTACCGTCAGTTTAAGAGCATCACTTTCTTTTCGAGGGCCTCTAGGGTAGGTTATGACATTTGGACCCGCGTGACTTGTTCCAGACAACTTAGAAGGATCTAGTCAACGAAGTGGCTGACAAAGATTTCACGAATAACTTTTTGTGTCGCTCTTATTTGACCTGAAAAAATGGTAACCAAAAACACAGTTATCGGCAGCCAAAATACAGTTATCGGTTCCCAAAATGACAGTTATCGGCACCCCTCGTTAAAAAGGCAAAACATGACCGAAAGTGACGAAAATTTCTAACAGTCGTCACAGGCACTCTATATCATTTCTCGACATGTCATGAACCCCCTCTCTTTTCTGTTATGCCTCTTGGGCCCTTTATTTTGGACTCACAGACAACTAGCACCATGAGTTGCAAAATAACAACCTTTCAAAGCACCGAGGAGGACATCTCGTAGATCACGTAGATCACTGGGAAAAAATGATCCGATTTCGTTCAAATGTGGCAGGGGTCTTCCTATGGTCTTAATGCTTCAGAATATTAACTCCCCAACGATGCCCGCAACAGGAGTGAAGTTTGAGGCCACCCTGACGATAACTGTGTTTGGAGTGATTTCTTGTGTACAGTTATCGGCACCCCCCGATTGAGGACAAGCAAGAGGAATTTCTGTGCGGCAAGCACGGTATGCCCTATTCAATAGATGGGGAGAAAAGACCTAGCAAGGAGAATAGTTTTTTTCTGGCCCACATTCACGAATGAAACGAGAGATTGAACCCCTGTTCCTACACTGTAAAAAATTCGTGGAGATTTCCTAGACCATTGGGCAAGTAAATTCACTTGCCCCCGCAGGAAAGTGTCATTTTTGGCCCAGTGGGCACTGAAAGGGACATTCCATTGCCCAAACTGGAAATTTAATGTTCATTTGGAGTAGGAAATTTGGCAGATTGGAGTAGGAAATTTAGCATCCCAAACATGAAAATTCATGTTTGGGCATGGAAAGCATGCGTTGCCTGCCCACAGAAGGAAATTTCGTACCCCATTGGAACAGGAAAATTCAGACACAGTAACGACCTGGACTCACTTAATTGCCCACACAATTGAAAATCTCTATTGTGGGCAAGGAAGGGCTGCTTGGCTTTCCCACAGCAGGAAATTCCGTGAGGGAGCAGCTCAAGGAAGAGGCGGCCTCCTACTTGGTGGAGTCACTAGGACTAACGACACTTCAGCTGACAGGCGACGGGGCAGCGTAGTGGTTAGCGAGGCCGGCCTTCAATACAGAGTCTTGGGTTCGGCTCGCGGCGGGAACTTTTTTTTTCTAGCTCAATGTAAGCCTCGTGGGACTTGGGGTCTTCCATTGCCCACGCACTGAAATTTCAACTGTGGGCAACTGTGGTAGCTTTCGCAGCCCAAATAGGAAATTTCCTTTTTGGGCAAGGGCGGTTGCGTTCGTTGCCCACAGGAGCCTGAAAATTGCTATTCCATAGAATCGCGAATTTCAGTGCCCAAAGCAATAGGAAATTTGCAGTCCGGGGACATCAGATAGGGCGTTTCATTGCCCACAGCACGAAATTTCCATTTATATTTTTTACAGTGTAGCATAGAAGATAAGAGCGGCCGGCCGAAGCGGCTTCATTCTGCTCTTGACTAGAAACGTGGCTCTTTTGGCTGACATGCTCAATCAAACGCGATGCTGTCTCGGTCCTGCATGCTCAATGGGTGTCTCTAGCGACCTGCACTGGCCGCACCACTCACGGACGCGTACTTGCAAAGCAGGACCCAGTTATTCGCTGAGATGACGATAACTGTACCCCTGCTGATGACTGTATAGTTTACCCTACGCGAATTTTAATCAGGATTTCAGACATGTATCTGACATTCTGACAAAGTTTTCACGAGTGCCCTTTCCATGATTCTTTGAAGCTGAAAAAGCGTCCGGTGGCGTCCGGTATTTTGACCGCCTCTACCGGGCCTCTGGCCTGGTGCATGCCCCACCTAAATGAACTAAAGTGGTTGTGAAAAATTTAAAGATATTTGAGGATTTTTGCAACCAAGAATGGCTTATCTGCGAATGGCATGGTTCCTTCTTGATACAAGTCTCCTAACCGAAATTAATGTCAGGAAACAATTTTGCCCAATCCAACATTCCTACATTTTATTAAATTTTTTGCACCATTCTCCAACGGCTTACAATGGTTCGTGGAACAGGGCGCTAAAATCCGGCCTTCCAATCTGGATGCCACAGTTATAGCCAGTCCACGAGGAATTCGGAGGCGGGCAGGTTGATGACAGTCGGAATGGCACGCCAGTCTTTCCGCGGAAAAACTCGAATCAGCATTCGGCATTTAACACGACCGACACTATGAACATTTGTCCCCGGAATTAAGAAAGGCACCTCCGGAAAAATATTTCAAACACCCTTGTAAATTTGCGGACAACCATCGTAAATTCAAGAAGGTTCTCAAGACATTTTCGAAGATTCTTTGTAAGATCACCAAGAATCATCCAAAGTAGACGATATGGTTCTTTTGCCGACTTGCCAGCGAAAATCACCCCCGTTATTTTCCTGTTTATTTCTTGCAGTGCATGAGAGGTTTAAAACGACCTTCGACTGGCGCCGCAACACGGCATTAGAGTGAGCACGGGTACTGTCCATTTCAGCTGGTGTTTTCGCCGCTTCATGCCCCGTTCTCTTCGTGCCAATGCTCTCCACTGGAATGTCCGATCGTATAGTCCGGCCGGACAAGGACACACACTCGATTCGCTCAACCTTCTCGCACCGACCCACGCCCATCGCTCGCAGAACCACACGGCACACGGTCAGGTGCACGCTCACAGAGCCCCCCCCCCCCCTCTCTCTCCTTCTCTCTCAGACCATGACAGAGCAGACTCACGAAGCGCGCTTGCACTAGCATAGAGATGACCGATCTCTTTCTCCCTCAAAAGATGGCTGGTAGTTTGTGGTGCTTTCCAGCTCTCGAGTAAGCTCTTCGAAACCAATCAATACCCCCCCCCCCTCCGGCCTCTTTCTCTCTCTCTGAAGATGCCCAGTGAAGCATTTCAGTACTCATGTAAACCCTTAAAAGCCAATCAATAAAGGTCTCTCTCTCTGTCTCTTTTTCTCTCTCAGGCTCCTCCCCCCTCCTCACTCCCTTTGCCTTCTCTCTCCACCCTCTCTATGCCCTGTCTCTGTCGCACTCACCTGCGGCGCGGGACTCTGCCATGCTACCTCAGCTTCGCGATGACCTCCCCACCGGCATCAAGTGGCTGCTCCTGGAACACACACGCACAGGCACATGAGGGCGGGTCGAGAGCACACTGATTCCGAGGGTCCTTCATGTCCCTCATGGGGCGGTCCGTGTCGGTGCGAGAGAGACGAAGCAGGGCGACACGGGCCGGCTCGTCCATACCAAAGCTGATTGGGACGGAAGGCGACACGGCAGCGTTTGCTGGGGTCGTCGTGTGCACTGGCGGGCTGGGAATGTGGCGTAAAAGTGGTTTCGACGGGGACGCGGCATGCAGGAACTCCAATCGGGTAACGAAGAACGAGGTGCGGGCACATTGGCCGATTGTCGCCCGGTGTGGTCGTGGTAGGGAAGCTGCATCGCGAACCGACTGTCAGAGGCAGCTAGCACAGAACCTAACGTTAAAACAGGCCGTTACTGCGTGAGAAGCACGATGTCATTCACGCACACTGTTAATGTTACGGAGGGATCAGCGTAGTTATAGTAGACATGTGTAAAACTTAAAACAAAATGAAATTGGTCAAGTTTGCAGTGCGGGTTCCCTAACGTAATCCATGACTGGTACCATGATCCGTGTTCGGCACTTTACCCACCAACACCGTTAAGGGGGGACATCACTCCAAAAACAGTGCTTTTGTAAAAGCGTCATAAAAACCAAACGGAAAGAGAAAAATTGTTCATATTTTAACAGATAAAGTATAAAACAACACTTAGTCAATCCGCCAGGGCAGTACAGCGCTTTCGTTGAAAACGCATTTTTGAGTGTTAGGTTAGACCATTTCGCACGGTTGCAGCGCTGGACGCCAAACGGTTTGACCTAGAACAACGTAATTTGGTGACAGCCTTCCTGAGATGTCTGGCTGTGGTGGGTACCTCAATTACATTTAAAAAATCATTTTAAGTTGTATTTGTTTCATGCCAAAAAAAATTGTTCAATTTTTTGGGTCAAAATTGTTCAATTTTGAACGTTAAAAAAATAATAAAAATTGACCAATGCAAATTATTTTGCTACCCACCGTAGCGGTATGTCGTAGGAGCTTCCATGCTAAATCTCCCCGCTGTAGCTCAAAAACTGCGCCCTAGAGGCCTGCAACCGTTTGCAATTTCATGTTCCGAGAAAAACGCGATCAAAGTTGGGGAAACTGGGCTTTTCCCCTATGCATGTTTGCGGCCCACAGCCTCCCAAAACTGCAATTTTTTGAATTTCGGAATGCGGTTTTCGCCATTCGACGCAGAAAAGAATGGTCTTTAGAATGAACTAATAAAAAAAAGTTGCGATTTTTTATCATTTTGGAGTGATGTCCCCCCTTAAAATAAATGACAGGAGTCTACATAGGTAGCTCGGGACCAAATGTCACCGAGGGAACCTTCGACCATTTACAACGCATCTACTTGCATTGACGGAGGTTCCTTCGAAAGCACTTTCGCCAGAAGAACCGTTTGTGCATTCAGGCAGGCGGAAGCGGAGTGGAAAGGACTGCTACACCCAAAGCCAAGCGTGGCAACCGCTGCGCTTGGAGAAATGCGTCAAAGTCCGTTTCTGTCCTCCACTGTCGCGTGGCTGTTACACTCGCACTCGGGTAAATTTTGTCAGAATGTCAGTTGAACACGTCGGAAATCCTCATCAAAATAGAAAAGAGTGCTACCGTATGGAGAATCTTGGCCAGAATTTTCTACAGGGTGAGTTTTTTTTCGATATGTCAATAATTTGTAGCAATCTTAGGCACCCCTAGCGGATCATATTTCGCCATTGAACTAGTGGGCGCTAACGTCTAGTTACCGAGATAATAAGTGTTTTGTTATTTACCTTCGCGCCCACGAGGTGTACACTGTCAAAAACTTCGTAAAAATACGGAAATTTAACGTAGACTGTCCATTTTTTTTAAACGGAGATCTGCGTTTTTTTGAATTATGGATTTTCTCCGTAAAAATATGGAATTTATGTATATAAATGAAATAGAAGCCTTACTTATCAAAAAGAACAGACTAATTCACGTTATCGATGGGTTGGGTGACCAACTGATTAGGTGTTCTAAGAGTACGCCTTCCCTAAACCGACCTCGCCTTTGGGTTTCCGTCCATTTATCTGATCCTAATGGCATGTAGTCAAGTGGATCTTCTAACAGTTTTGGAGAATATCACTTTCGTCTAAAAGGACACTGTTTGCATTAACATCGAAGGTGGAAGGAGTGAAATAAACCGTTAAAATGCGTTTATTTCTGCAAAAATGCGGTCCATCTCCGTAAAAATACGGAAAATCTCCGTAAAAATATGGAAAATTTATGGAGCCTCCATTCCCAAAATTAGAGTAACTTTCTCCGTAAATTTACGGACTTTTTTTCTGACAGTGTGAGAATCCCTAAAGTACATTTTCGCCAAATATTAGTGTGACTTTCCCGCCATGCCTTTTTCTGCCGTGCTTTATTGTCACCCCATAATTTTGCCATTTTAATTTTCAGTGTGGAGGCTTCGAATTCCGTACCTACCACAAGTACCTTCCACACTAAATAATAATGAATTGTCAATGGCCATTGCCAAAGCAGTGCATGTAGCTGTGCACACTGAAAATCTATCAGCGTGACTTCTTGCCGCTACAGGGGCGTGAACGAAGTGTTACGCACAAAACAGTCATTCTAAAAATCGGCATGACAGAATTCACGCCAAGTTTTGGTTTCCGGTCATGCCGGTTTTTGGCGTGACTTTTCTCATATAACGCATTGCACGCACCAATCCACTTGGCACATTCACGCCAAATGACGGCGCGATGAACACACACTAAATGTTTATGTAGAATATTGTACGTGCCACTTGCACGATTTTGTGCATGCGGGGAAGTTGTATAATATTATGCGTGAAAATGCATAAATTTATGCAAATTCGCGCACAATTTTATGCACGACGGCACACAAGTTTAAAATTATGCATCGCCACGTACAAAATTGTACATAAACATTTAGTGTGCACGTTATGCGCCATGCTGTTTTACGGCGTGAATTTCCTGTCCTGCCAATGTTTGGCGTGACCTTTTGTCACGCTCTAAATTGACCATGTGTCCGCCCATTCACTATACAGTGTACATTTTTAAATGTTCAGTTGGGACAACATTTGCATTCAGTTCTACATATTTTTAATACAAAACTGTACCAAGTTTATGTACAAATTTAACGTACCACACACAAATACGTGAATACTTCTGTACAAAAGGACCAGAAGCATTGGGCCCACGCTCACTTGATTTTTCAGTGTACAGTACTAAGATGTGGATTGCAAGACAAATTTTCGGCCGGACTGACGTTTCCTTGAAGGAAAAGAGAGAAAGAAAGAAAGAGGACTCTCATTTCACTCGTGTCAATCTTGTCAGGATGTCCGAAACCTGTCTGAAAACCTGATCAAAATTCGCGCACCTCTGAAAGCTGAAAACTTATTCTGACATTCTGTAAAACTCAGGGTCATCAATAACAGAGCAAGTTATCAGTATTTAAGCTTTCAGAGTTGCGCAAATTGCCATCACGATTTCAGAAGTGTTTCTGACATTCCGACAACATTTTCAGAAGTGTCAAGGAGCGGGACATCACGTTGAAACACGCGCATGACAAGACGTAACGTTCCGTTGACCATTGAAACACATATGTGAATCAGAGGCATAAATTAGCTTATTTAAATCTAGACGAATGAGACACAGTGCCCAAAGGAGCGGGACATTCGGTCACGCGCTAGTTTCAACGTGATGTCCTGCTCCTGAAATGAGATAGGAGGGAGTGGGAGAAGAGGTCGTCACCCGCGACCCACCTCCAGAAAGCGCGTCCAGTGCTGCGGGGGAGCCGCCTTCTGTGCCTTCGACAGGGAGGCCGACGTGAATGAGAGTCCGGTCGGAGCGCACGCGGTGCCTCGACGAGCGGCGCGCGGCAGGATGTGAGCGGGCGCGACGTTGGTTCCCCACTGCCGCGGTGGACTCGAGTCCGTTTTCCGCTGGCCGCATAGGCAGCCATACCCCGCGCCGCCCCCCGCCCGTTAGGCTCGCGGCGTTCCCACGTGGCTGCACTGCACGGCGGCGGTGGTTCGGTACCGCGACGGCTCGCCGTGAGGCCCCACTACCGGGCTGGGAGCATCCTCCACAATGAATTAGGGTAAAGTGCCGCCCGTCGGGTAGGGTGGCCCAAAAAAAATCGAAGGTTTTCCGATTGTCCAATTCCGCTCAAAAATCGATTCTAGACCGAAAAAAAATAACCCCTACTTTTTGCGTTTTGCCCTGAGACGATTTTGAATACCGGCTCAATAGCGAAAATGGTTTTTAACCCGTTTAAAGCACCAAAATTGTCATAACAATTACAGTTATTATCGGATTTTCAAAAACGATACGGCAAAATGTTCGGTTTTAGACGCCGAACAAATTACATTTTCACCTATTTTTTGTCAGACTTCGTCTTAAGTATTCTACTTGCGACTTTCGCTCAAAAAAAAAATTTGTTCCTTTTTGGAGAAAATTTTCTTTTTTCGGACGGCCGAGTTGCGCCCCTATCCACTTTTTTTCTTCCCTATCCAAAAACAAACCGACCACGTGAAATATAGCCGTGAAAATCAATTTGCCTACCATCTAGGGGCAAGCATTTCGTTGTTTTCAGTTTAAAGAAAAGTCTGTTGAGCTCTGAGGCCGAAATTTTCCTCCGATTCTCAAACTCGAGAACTCTTTTTGTTAAGTTTTTTAAGACGAACAAAAAAGATTCTATCCTTTTTTTGCAGACTGCGTTTTAAGGTCCGTCTTGCTTACAACGTGCAAAAATCCCCCAAAATTTAAATTTTTTTGCCCACTTTTGGACCGTTTTTCTCGTCAGCGATCCACGTGACCAGCCAATGATCACTTTTTTACCTTCCCTAGCCTTTCTGGAATGGCTGGAATTAAGAAGACCAGGTCCTAGACACGAACTAACAGGTCCGGGCATGTTTTGGCGGGTTTTTTGCTTGTAACGTGAAAAAATCGCCCAAATTCGAATTTTTTGCCCATTTTTGGACCGTTTTTTTTTGTCCAAA